CCACCTGAGAGTTCTCCACCAGTTGCCATACCTAACACCTCTGCTTTGATATTCCATTTAAACCTTCTGATCTAACTTTAGTATTAATTTCACCAAATTACAAACCTAGATCTATTTGTATTCGACCATAGGACTATAATCCTTAGACTATTTTTATTCTTAAGGTAAACCTACCAGAGCAAGCTGTATTCTCTTTTACTGCTAACCTGATTTAACACTATGACTAGAGCCAACACTTGCAGTCAGAGTTATCCCTTAAACTGCTATTACTTTTTTAAAGTTCACTCAAATCCTGATATCCATCTTTTTGACTTCTTCTCTATCATCTTCTACTAGCCACAACTCGGAACTAACCGACTCCCCAGACTCCCAATCCAGATGGCCTAGTATGGTATACTTATGTATTCTTTTTCTCTGGCAATTCCGGTAACCTGGTTAGTTATATGCTCCTCTATACATCTTTGTCATCCAGTTTATCTGACAATTCCTATAAAGGTGTTTTATGGGCTTCCATCAGTTCAATGGCACTATTGAAAGTTTGTGTTATCTCTTTACTTAGGATTTCCAAGTAAGTTTTCATCTTTTCAGTTTCTTAGTCTTCTATGCCTAGTGGTCTTATCGTGGGTTTGCCCGAAGCCTTATATGACATCAGTTTTACATTTCTCTATATATATGTACTATGTAATATTACACTTCATATAGATGCCCCAAGCTCCCAATGTTAGGTAAGATCTGACTTGATGTACCTAAGATTACAGATGCCCAAAACTCAACCAATCGGCAAGAGACAGTTATCATAACACAGATATAATTTTTAAAATTCGTCGTCTATGGGAATTGAACCTTAGACCTGCCACTTGAGGATTGACAACCTATCCATTTCACTAAGTCACCACACTCTAAGAACCTTTAAGATTATTTAATTAGTAAAACAAATATGTATTGTAAAGGTTTAAATAAGAGTTTTAGAAATAAAGAGATCTATATTGGTGTTAAAAATGAAAATGGTATTGTTAGAGTTTGTAAGTTGAGGAATAGGTAATCTGATATTGTTTTTCTTTTTAGTAAAAAATATAATTTCTTATAATAATTTCTATTCATATTGTTTAGTATTATAGGTTTGCCAAATAGTAGAGTTGAACCAAGTAAGTAATAAGTTAGATAAAGAAATAAGAAAATTATTAGTTAATTTTTTTAAAATAGGTTGAAGTTGATTGTATTAATTAAGAATTATTATATTTTGAATAAATAATAGTATTGTATTATATATATTTAGATTGAAAGGAGTGTTTTGTATAATAAGAATTTGTATTATTGCATTTGATAAGATTTCTGTAATGTTTAAAGAATTTAAAGCATTTGAGATTTTATTAATAAAAGTGTTTTGTGAATTGTAAGAATGAAGTAAATATTGAAATAAGTGTTCGATGCTTTTATATTAATTATAATATGAGCAATTTAAGATTAAATAAAGAAAAAGATAGTAAATATTTAGATTTGATATTGTTGGTAAATTAATAAGAAATATTTTGTTTCTAATAGAATATAGTTTGAGATTGGAGTTTTGAGAATTAATAATTTCAGTTAATAAGAAAATATTTATAGTCAGAAGATTTTATAGTGATTTGAATTAAAGAAGTTTGTTAAATGTTTGAATTAAGATTAAGTTTTTGCAGAATTTATATAGTTTGTATATGATTAGAATTCCTTTTCAAGAAAAGTAAATAGGTTGATAGAAGTGATCAAGATTAAATTTTAATTTAATTTTGTTAACACCTTATTTGATAAGAGAATCAGTTATATTATATAAAGTATTTTTTAAATGTAATTTAACTTAGTGTGTGATATAATTAAGGTTTTTGAGTTTTATTAAATAATTAAGCATATATATAATATCTCAATTATTTTGTTTAGTTTGTGAGTTGTAGTAATAGGATAGTGCATTGAAGAGTATTTGAATAGTAGATAAACTGTCTAAATAGATATAAATTTGATAATTCCCAGATAAAATGAGAAATAAAGAAATGAGAGCTGCTAGTTTAGTTTGTATTAAGTTAGATGTATGAGTTATAAAGTATTAAATTTGATTTGTGTATCCTTTTTAAGAATCTAAGTGATGTTTGTTAAGATATTATTTGTTTATAAATTAAATATAAAGGCATCTGTATAAAAATTTAGATTAGTTTGTTCTAGAAATAGATTTTTTTATAAAGATCAATAAGTTGGTTTTAATAAATAGAATTAGGTATTATGTTTTATATTAAGAGAATTTTTAAGAAAGGTATTGAAAAAGAAGACAAGAATTGGAGAACTGGTTTGTATAACTCTAAGTAAATATTTTGAAATATTTGAATTTCTTAATTGTTAATATTAAGCTTGAAGTGTTGTTATTTTGCTAAGATAATTAAAATATATAATAATTAATAAAAATTAAAATATTATAATAAATTATTTAAATTGTATTTGTAACTAATAATTAAATTTTAATAATTTTTTTATTTTATAAAAAAAATATATATCTATTAAAAAAAAAAGAATTATTTATTTTAGATTAATAATTATTAAGAAAATTAATCTTAAGATTTAAATATAAAATTTTTATTTATATTAATTTTTTTTATTAATTAATAATTAAAATTAAATTAAATTTATATTATTTTATAGAATATAACTTTTTTGTAACATATTAATTTTTTATTAAATTAAAACTAATAGTTATTAAAATATTTATACAAAAATATAAACACTTACATCATCTATCCAAATTCTAAAAATAAAATTAAATAACTTGTTAATTATTCAAGTATATAATCTAAAATGATATAACATAATCATTAAAGAATAAGGATTAATATAAAATCATTAAGGATATAGATTAGTTAGTAAGTTTTTGAGTTATAAATCAAGTTTTTAGATGTAAAAAAATTTTATTACCTTCCTATAAATGTGAACTTAACAATATTAATATATAATACAATATTATAAATTTTTAGTTTTTAATCTAAAATAGTAAACTTCTTTTGTTCAATAAATGCTTCAAACTTTATGTAAGCTAAATTATTAAATATTATATGTGCATTCAATTCAGAATATTTACAAATTATTTTATTCTATTTAAATTAATTTAGAAATCTGAAAATCATTAATTCATCTGTACTATTCAAATTATTATTACACAATATAGCTTTATTTATTTGTATACAAGACCAATCCAGTACATAACTATAAGTTTATATTATAAAGAGAAAAACTTTAAAAAGCATGCACTTTTTGTATTTATAATAAACAGTCTAGATATTTAAATCCAACTATATTGCAAAATGGGTCTATAGTGTGAGATCTAAAAACATAACTGATATATGTAATGTAGATCCTAAATGTCAGAAATGTCAGGTATGTCAAATATATCTGATATATCTGATATATCTGCTATATTGCATAAATGTGATATATTAAATAGATGCTATATATATGATATATTAGATAAATTCATGATGTAAATAAACAAGAACATTTATTATAAATAAAAGGCAATTCGCCCAGGCAAAAGGACAGTAATTACAATTGCGAAACATAAACCACTTACCCGACCCATAATAACAGTGAAAAGTGTTGCCTTATACAGCTAGTTACTATCGTAAATTCCATCACTAACAATACCCGTTCGTCCAAAGACTAAATTAAACTCGTAATTGATCGCTCGCCATAATCACGTGCCCAGTAAACCGTAACGAAAAGAGAAGAGCTCCAACCCCGATTCGACATAGTGAAATCCCGGTTGAGACCATAAAGAAGATAAGAATTAGAATAAGGATAGGTTGAAGGAAAGACTCAAGAGAAGAGACCAGTACTCACCTACGGATGATAATCCACTCGCCAAATCTGACACGCCTGTTTCGACTTAGCCGCCGTAGGTTACACGAGAGTTGCTTTTTTGAATACTACCACCATCTATAGGTCTACAGTACTGCCGTACGTATCATCTAACCTGTGCTCAAATAAATGAAAAACATCCACGATAACATTGTAATTTAATTGAAAGCCGAAATTAGTTAATTCGACGAGACCTCTATTAATATCTTGTATACTTTGCTTTTTTTTATTCTGTTGAAGGCATCTTGTATTACAAGATCGTTTGTAGATGTCATCCAGATCAATATTACAATGTTATACATCACCACATGACCCTTATTTTTGAAGGCCTGAATTTGCTCACATGTGATAAGAATTAAACTTGGTCCTAAATAAATTTCATAATCATGGAATTCGTTATTTTTACGTAAAATGTCTCGCTCATGATTTATTACATGTGGACCTGCAGAAATAAACCGAAAAGTTCCATATCGTTGATCTTTGCGCAAAAAGTTGTCGGTTTTCAATTGTTGCTCGTTATTTAAATACGCAAAAACGCAAGTTCTAGACCACGGAACTTTATTCTATCAATATTTATTTGTCTTCTTATTATGAGATACTCTTAATTCGATTAGCTGTTGGTCATATTTGTGAAACTGAAATGTCTACATAGAATAGCTATACTTGCCGTCCAAATCACAAATTATTTTAGTTTGGGTTTGTCCGCGCCAAAATCCCAAACTCAAGCCCAAACTAATATTCAAAGCTTTTATTAATAATCTTTATTTAAACAAATAATATATGTTCTTATAGCTATATATAATATATTCACAAAATATCAAAATTATTTTGTTGATTTAATTTTTTATATAGTCAACCCTCCGTAAATGCACCCACTTGGGACTATAAGCAAAATTTTTAAATATATGCATTTAGAGAGGGTGTGCATTTATGGAGGGCATTTTACTAAGTGCTCTATATGCTCGGGACCGAAATTAGTGTGCATTTAGAGAGGGTATACATAATGTGAGTTTATAGAGGGTGCATTTATGGAGGGTCGACTGTAAAAGCAATTTGTTTTTTTGAGATTTGTGATTTGTCCGGGTTTTGACAGCAAGTATAAGAACAGCTCGTTTAGCTGCTTATACATGAAAGAGCACATGCTCTTTCATATTGATAATCCAAATCTGTTTACAGGGGACAGTGGTGTTCTTGGACGAGGTTATAAATATCTCTTTCGCTGCATTTAAAATGTTAATAATAACATGCCCGTTCTCATCTTGTGTGTGTTTCAAAGGCTTTTCAGAGTCACCAACCGAAATAAAAAGGAGATTCCGAATACAAAACGGATTTCATTTTTCCATGCAACAAAAATATATATTGATAGTCGATTTTTTTTTATGCCCTTTAATAGCTAAATCAGGTTATCATTATCTTGTTCGTTGTAATTGCCTTCTTTGATAGATTTCAATTCAGTATTGCCTGAATGTCTTTTTTCTGTAGCTTGATCCTGATTTCGCTTATTCGAGTATCATTAGCAGATTTCAAATCTTGCTTAAATGCTTCCTCTTCTTCCTCTTCTCTCTTTAGTTTTATTACTGCTGTTGTTCTGTATGCACTTCTTCAGATTTTGCATTCTATTACTTTACCTATCTTTCTTACTAAGTACTTGATTTTATACTCTGCCATCTTTTTTGGCAGGTCCTATACTGTTATTGCTACTGTGTTTTTTTTATTTTTTTTGTTTATATCTTCTTTTTCTTGGTTGAGTGAATTGTCTTCTGTTCTCTTAGCTTTTTCTTTATTCTTCTTTTTTTTTTGTTAGCTCATCTTTCTGCTTTAACTTCTCATTCTTTTTGGTTACCTTTTTTTCTAATTCATCTATGTTTGGAATTATTCTAAACCAATTATTGTGTTTTCTTTGAATTTTGTTGATTGCTTCTTCTCTGCTATATTTGCAGTCAAACATGACAATAATCTAAGCATTATTTCTCTTAAATATCTTTTTAACCTTTTTAACATGTTTGTTAGATACTAACAATCTTTTAATAAATTTTGTTATTTCTTCTTGTGAACTACTTGGTACATTGTATGCTAATATTTTTGCTACATATATTCTTTTGTTACTGCATTCTTTGTTCGAGAGTGACCAGATGCTTCATTCTAGTAGTTCTTCTATAGTGTTATTTCTGTTTTTCCATCATTCAGTTTTATGAATTCCATCTTTTTTATCTCTTTTAGTTTCTTCTTAGTTTCTAATTGCTATAATAATGTTTTTATAGTTTTCTTGCATTATGTTTGTCTTCAATGTTCTTATTTCTTCTTCTATATAGTTGTTTATTTTTGTCTTTTTAATCATTATGCTTGTTGTTTCTGTATTTGTAATCTTTTTGCTTTTTCTTCTTTTTTGTTTCTTTTGTTCTTCTAAACTTATATTTTGTCATAGCTTTTTTTCATTCATTATTATGTCTACTGCTTCTGTCTTTTGTCTTATTTTTTCTACATACAATTCTGGTGTGTTGTTTTCCTCTTTTGATACTGTTTGAACATTTTTGCTTTTCATACTTTGTACTGCTAGTAGGTGTTAACTTGTGTGGTTTATTTCTTTTGCCCATTTTTCTATACTTGTTGGGTCTCTTATGTCTACTTTAATTATTGCTTTATATATTTTCTTTAGTATTACTGTTTTTATTAAATCTATTATATCTTTTATATTAAAATAGTTGTCTCTATTTGCTAGTTCTTGCTCTAATTCTTTGCTGCCTATGAGCTTTAGTATTGCCTCTGTTCTTTTACTTGCCAATTTTAGTATCATTGATTCTTCTGCTTTTGCTTGTATTATCTGTGGCTGTGTTCTGTGCTGCTTTGTTTACAATTACATGCACTTTATAATACTTACATGTTTATTCTGTCTATATTTGTACATGTCTGTTTGTTTGTCTTTTTATATGCTCACGTGTTTCAAACAGATCTGTGATTTTAGGTTTAAGCTATTTTTCTAAAATTTTTGTTTTTTGAGATTTATTTAGCAAGTTTGTCTTTTCTTTGCTTGCTTCTTGACTTGTTTTCTTCTACTGCTTTACTTGTTAGTTCTATTTCTGAAGCTCTTTCTTTTTTGTTAGATCTTTGAGAACAGTTTTGACAGTAGTTTTTCTATTAGTCTTGATTTTTGTCTTTGCAAATTTTGTGTTTTGATGATTAGTGAAAAGAGTTTTTTTGGTTACTTTGTATTATGTTTCTAATATATACATTTTTATTTGTAAAATATAATTTAGCTAATTTGATTAAATTTGTATATAACAATAATTTTAACAATTTATATAATTAAATCTATATTTGTATTATAACAATTATTTTATAAATTGTTATAATAATAAATAACAAAATATAAAATCAGTTATAGTTATAACTAGTTATAACTAAACTATTAACATCTCTATTTATAAGACAGTAAAAGCAAAAAAAACTTTTTTATTTAGCATATCAACTAATTTTTTTATTTTTCTTCTTATAAGTATTTAAAAAACAACCTTTATAAGAAATAAAGTTATTAATATTAAAAATAGACTGTAAATTGAATAAAATTATTATATAATACATAATATTATATATTATTATAAGTATTATAAAATAACTATTACTATAAAATTAAATTATAAAAGTATTTATATTTTTCAATAATATATAATCTTGTTTAAAAAAATATTATATAATTAATCTGACTAATTAAACTCTTTCCGTAGATCACTTATACCAAAACTACAAAAATAACATTTGATTATTTCTCACAATTCTATTAAGTAAACCTTACTTGACCTCTTAAGTAAAATTGTCCAGCACACTTTTCTCCTTCTAGGCGGCTGTGTTTTATCTCTCAATAAAACCTGGCTGCTGAGAAAAGTTCAAAAAACCAAGGTTTTGGTTTTTGTCTATTTACACATAATTTTACTAATTAAATCTATCTTTCTATCTATTCAAAGTTGTTCAGCTCACTGAGACGGACATTTTGATATATAATTCATTAAAGCTGGACCAAAACTCATAGAGATACAAGCAAAAATCTAAACCAAAAACTTGCTCTTTGCAGGTTTTTTCATTGGTAATTTTAGGAAAACTTGCTGGGTTGCCCTGGAAATTTCACTTTTCTGGGACCCATTAGAATTTTCTAAACACCCAATTAGTTTATCTGTAACCTAAACTCTTTTCCAAACTTTCCTAACTAGTCTAGAAACCCTTAAACGGAACAAATTTTTTCCAAAAACATATCTAAATATCTATTTTTAGAACAAAATGCTAACCCCTGTAACAACTGTACTGGACACCATCGACCTTGACTATTTCTACCAGAAGTGTCCTAAAAGCTTCAGTATTGGTATTTATGAGAATGCACCAACTTCATCTCATCCTATTCCTGCCAACAAACAACCTAAAAATTGCAACATTACTAAACTTAGAAGAAGTACCAAATGCAGTCATTACTTCAAAGCACCCAAATCCAGCTCTTTGTTATATGCTTTTGTGGTAAATATTATACACATTTTATTTCAATAACCAATCAAACCTACAAACAACACAAAACCACAAATGTTATTAAAAAACTTAAAGATCAAAAAACCCTAGCAAACACAATTGCAAATTCTACTGAATTTGTTCTGCCATCATCTACAGCATCACCCTCACCTACTATCCATAACTATCTCTGCTAAATGCAACCTACCCATTGCCTGTAAAGAAATGAATAACCAACATTACTTGGCAACTGATGCTACTTTATATAACAATAAACCTTATCACAAAGCCTATACTAGTACACAACAATTTGCTTAACAGTCAAGCTCTTCTCCTACTTTTATTCAAAAACTTCAACAAACAATTAGCTCTTACAATCCACTTGCATCTTAACTTACCTTTACAACCTCATCTAACAACAACAACAATACTACAAATGATATGGATCTTGATAATAACATTACTAATAACAATAACAACCAACAACATCAACAACAACATCAACAACAACATCAACAACAACATCAACAACTGCTATACCAAAATCCATCCCACTCTAATGAACAACAACAACAACAGCAAAAAACAAGTCAACAACAACAGCAACAAACAAGTAACCAATAACAACAGTTAACACAAACTAATACCACTACCAATCAACCAAAAATTAAAGCCAACCCAACATTTGACTGACTTGCTAATTTTCCAATTTCAACTTTCTCAAATCCTACCTACATGATTTCTATCCTGATAAAGAAATCAAACCTGAAACCCCCAAGCAAAAGGCCCTCAAAGCTAGCTTTTATCATATTATTTGCAAATGGCTGGAGACAGATCTGAATTTTTTACTAAATTCATTCAAAAAACCAACTCCAATACTGATAAAGCTATTACCATTTCTTTTAACATACTTGAAGAAACTCTTAAAAAACTTATCCTAGCATTCACAACAATTCTTTTCACAAACTCAACTACTCCAAAATCTTTGCCTCCTCAGCTACTATTCCTTTATAAACTAACCAAAACCACATTCAACTTTGTATTAATCTGGCTCACATTTACTTATATCTTTCAAATAACTATTAAGCAATTAATTACATCAAATTTGCTAAAGACTTTCAACTTTGACCTAAAAGATTTAACATTATATCAAAAGTATCTGACTATGACAAAGAAAAGCAATATGTCATA